GTGTGTGTGTGTGTGTGTGTGTGTGTGTGTGTGTGTGTGTGTATTTGAGCCTATGCACATTCGAATGCATGCATATAGATGCAGGCTGGCATATTCACCTTTGTTTATGGGTTCTGGGGATCTGAACTCATATCCTCATACTTACATGGCAATCTCTTAACAGACTGAGTCATATCTCCAGACCATACTGCTTTGCTCTCTTTTCTTTGTATTATTATACCAAATTCAGCTAGAGGCGAAGAAGATTTAGCACATCTGTTGTATAGGTGCAAAGTGATTTTGAGGTAAATGTTTAACTACTGTGGTTGCAAACATTCAAATTTCAGATTTACAGTTGCCAAATGCTTTTCTAGACTGAAAGCTTAAAACTTAAACATAGGAAATGTGGAAACCTGAGTCAGCCTTCTTATTACCACGTTCAGTAATGAAAAGGTGAGCTAGGGCATGTTTAGCCATAAAATGATCATTGGGATGAATATTCATGAGTGCTTGATGGATGACACTCTGGAGGCCCCAAGTGATTTGAGTGACACATAACTTAGTTCTGCATGAAAGAAAAACGGAACCCTTCCTAGCCACCCCACATACTTCTGTAGGCAAGAAAAGATAGTTTCTCTCACGGCAACATTTTCCTAACTTCTTGCAATATTCTTTTGTAAGAGAAGATTGGGGGGGGGGACGTGGTATCTTTGATGGAGACTCACCTGACAGTGAAGTCATGGTCTCTCTTGGTTGTCTGTGATCTCTTCTGGATGTGTTCTGATCCTTAACTTAAAGAAAGTAACTGTTGGAAAGACCCCCCCACCCCATCTCTCTTTCTCTGTGTATGTGCATGTATTTGGAGTGTGGGAGTACATGTGTGTGTATGCATATATAGAGGCATGTCAGTGTGCTCATGCAAGGAGTGTGTGAGTACATGTGTTTGTGCAGATGTCAGTGTGTGTGTGTGTGTGTGTGTGTGTGAGTGCGAATGGTGTATATGAGTACACCTGTGTGTGCCTATGTTGAGGCCAGAAGTCTACGACAGTGACTTCATTAATCATTTTTTTACTTTGGTTTGGAAAGAGGGTCTGTCAATGGACCTGAGCTCACATCTTTGGCTAGTGTTCGCCCAGCAAGGGCTTGAGCCTTGCCTGTTTTCTTCCTGAAGCACTGGGTTTACGGATGCCAGGCTTTTGGTGTCCAAACCCCGAGTCTTCACACTTACACAATAAGCACTTTCCCTTCTGAACCATCTCCCTAGAAAGAACCCTTTAAAGACATTGTTTTCTCTTCTTATTTTACAGATGCAAAGAGAGAAGTTCACAGGGCTAGCTAGGCACAGTCATAGGACAGAACCAGAATTCGCTCTTGAATTCCTTGAACAGCACTGCTCCGTGCCTCCACAGTTACTTTTCACCTCCTGCTGGCTTGAGGGTCACGGAGTGGGCAAAGAACGGGAAACTGTGACAAGAACTCTTTTTGTGTTATGTGTGTATATAGTGGCTGTAGACAGTTTTGCCCCAGGATCTCTTCGTGGTTTGCTTGTTGCCATTCTGAAGGCTCCGGGAAATTTCCTCTGAACAATACTAAAGGAACTGAGAAGCCGTCCACTGATCTTATCTTCTGCAGCAGACACAAAGTGTGGTGCTCACAGACAAACGTCCTTGCACAGAACCGTCCCCGTGCCCGCCAGAAGCCAATGCAGCCGCACCTGTTTGCAAGTGTCGTCTGTTCCCACCCCCTCTGCCTTTAACTTACACTTTTCTCTGTATTAGAAAACAGTGAAAGCAGCATTATTTTCTTTCTGCATACTTTCAGACTTCTAAATTGTAAGACCAAACATCCATAAAGAGACGTGAACAAATAATAAAAGAAAACTTTGAATGAGTAGCGATCACATAGGCTACCTCATCCCACAATTACCACAAGCCAAGAATGAAATATTGCCAGCACACAGAAACCTTTCTCCTTTCTGTGTTCTATGTTCTTTCCTGATTCAAACTCTCTTCTCCTCTTCAAGCAAAAAGCATTAGAGTGGATTTGTGGCCTTTATTCAGATTATATATCACACTTCCACTCTCTTAGTGACTAAGCAAGGAATCATAATTTGTAGACATTAGCTTATCAAAAGTTGCTCATAACATCTTTTCTATATAGGCTGCATTTTTTACTTTGAAAGTTCAGGGTAATGGTAGTCTGAGATTACATTAACTAAAACCCCAGGAATGAGATTTTTCTACACTGGACATGAGGGTCAGTTCACTCAGAGTTCCTTTAACTCCAAGGATCATTCCAGCATTCTTTGGAAATCAGCTTGTTGAAGAAATATCTCCCAGCTTCCTTGCTTTGCAGACTCTGGGAGATAAAGCATGAAACAGAAGTTTGAATGTGGGAAAACAATACATGTTCTCAGAGCAAAAACCTCTCTGACATTCTGCTCGTGTCCCTGGTCCCAGGGTGTTGATTTATGTTCTACCCCCATGTCTGAATGGGGATGTCTGAATTCTCTTCAGATCAATGATGTAATCCTTGCAAAACTACTTTTAGGTATTTTGCTTTCTGCTATTTTATTATTGAATAAGGAGTATTACCATAATTGGAAGCTGGGACACTTTTGTTTATTTTTTTCTAGCCAAGCCTCTAATTTGAAAATGTTTCCTGGAAATACAATACATATATACTTGGGGGTAGAGATACTAAAATAAATAAGCAAATAAAATGATTGTGATGAAGTGTGAAAGGAGTTAAGACATCAAGCATAAACAGAGATTGGCAAATGATCATCTTGTATGATGCCAATCTTAATATATAAGTTGCTTCCCTTCTTTAAGGAAATAATATGGCAAGATACATTTGGGCAAATGTCAGGGTGTTTACAGAAAATCAGAGTGCTGGAAATAATCCTGGTGTTGCCTTAGTGCTTAGTTTTAATACATCATGAAGATTAACACAAAGGCTCATTACACAGTCATTAAAAATGATCATGTCAAACATGTAAAAAAATGAACTTTTATGGTAGGTCATTGTATGATGCCAGCAGAGCACAAAATACTACACTTGTTATATAAAATCCCACCACTAAAAATCAAAACCAAAAATATAGAATACCTCCTATTTTACTAGGGATGTCTAGTTTTTAAAAATTATTTTATACTTGTTTGATCTTCTTAAGAAAAAAGGAGATTTACCAACTGAAGTAAAAGCTACCATCCTGGTATTTTTTCCAAACAATTTCAGCATAAAACTTTTCATTAAAAAATTATATGTCATTTAAAAAAACAAACAGAAGAACACCTTGAACCTACAAGCCAGGAGTTGACGATCTACAACAGAGCTAAAATTATTTCAGTCTCCTCCTCCTCCTGAGGTCTCCATGTAGCTCACAAAACAACCCTGGTTCTGGTGATCTCAAAAGAGTGAAAAAACTGAGCAAAAATCTAGGGCCTCACATGATCATTGGGCCTATTTGGTCCTTATTGAATGGGGTTCATAGGAGACACATTACTACTTAAATATAATTGATTTGTTTCTTTACTTTTCAGTGAGAGGATGTAATGCTGTTTATATACAATCATTTAATTTTAGCTCCAGTAAATTTATATACTTTCAAAAGTATTTTTCCATAACATATTTTTGCAACTCTTTCCTTGTCAGCTAAAGGAAAATCATGCTTTAACTTCAGATTTAAAATTTACTACTTCAAAGGGGCATTTTTCTGACCCCCCCAGTGAATATTATAATACACCACCCAACCCTACCACATTTTCCCTGATAGCACTATGTTCCTAACTCAAATTATAACACATCACTCATTTCTCTGTTTACCATCTGGACCCCAGTGTGGAACCTGTAAAAGCATGGAGACCCTTTCTGTCTGAGTCCAAACATGTTATTTGATACATACATTTTATATGCTATTACATGAAAAGCACATTTATAGTGCATAGTTCTGCCTTGTCACAATCTGGCTTTGTTTGCTTGGCTATGACATCTTTCATTTTGGTATCAATAGAGGTGACTTTATAAAAAGAAATCACGTTCCCACTTAAATACAATTATTAGGGCAACATGTTCATAAAACAGCATTCTTACTTTGTTTTCTTTCTTTTGTCCAGGAGAAATCAATGACTCAGCCAAGCATAAGATGTTTTCATTTTACAATGGAGGTATACAGATTTCTTGTGTGTATCCTGAGACCACCCGACAGCTCAAAATGCAGTTGTTCAAAGGGGAAGAAGTCCTCTGTGAGCTCACCAAGACCAATGGAAATGTTGGGTCCAGCAAGAATCCCAGGTCCTGTCCATATCAGTTGTCCAACGACAGTGTCTCTTTTTTCCTAAACAACCTGGACAGTTCTCAGAGCAGCTATTATTTCTGTAGCCTGTTGATTTTTGAACCACCTCCATTTCGAGAAAGGACTTTTCCTGCAGAATATTTGCATATTTACGGTAAGACATTGGTTGGGGCAGAAGCGTGTGTGCACATTTCTGAGACTTTTCTCACCAATGGAAACAAATAAATATTTTTTTGTTACATTCTTTAGGTGTAGTTGGATGAAATATGCAAGGAACCATCTGTTTTTAATTCAGTTGGTACTTATCAGGAAGAAGTGATTTATAACATATACTGCTGAGTTAGAATTAGGCCCTAATCTTTCAAACACCCAGATCATGGCTCAGTGGATAGTACCTCTAGTCACTTAAGGTAGAAAGCACTTTGGAGAATGCAATGAGAAGATTTGAAAATCAGTTTTATACCATGCATTTTTCTACTAAATCTTGTGAAAGCTGCAGATGGAAAGTCTCTATGTGTTAGTCACATTTGTAAGCACTCTGGCATAGTCTTTGGAAGGTCTGGATTTCAGAGTCCTTGCTGGAAGGTGGCAGTGATGTTGATTACCATCTACTGGGTCCCATCATTGTTAGGAAGAGAAACCTTCCTTGATTAAAAAGCTTTACAGTTTAGGAAAGCCTTTTCTGTGCAGCGTTGAATGCAGACATGTGTTTCCGGGTCTTTCATCAATGTATCTCTACCTGCCTCTCCAGAATCACAGCGTTACTGCCAGCTGAAGCCCTGGCTGCCCATAGGATGCGCAGCTTTTGTTGTGGTGTACATTTTTGGATGCATGTTTATCTTCTGGTTTACAAAAAAGGTAAACGATTTCTACTTTTCCTTACGCTTTCTTTCCTGAGAGGCCACTTACTCATCAGTGCCTGATGCTCTTCTTGGAATGACCTGAGAAAAAGGGAGACAATTCCTTCCCCCCAATTTATACACTAATTAAACTAGTGACTTGAAACAGAGATTATTTGTTTGTTTTTTAATAGCTCACTTCATTCCCAAAAGGACTCAGAGGCTTACAGAGATACGTCATTATTACTATTTTTTCCCTAAAAAGATAGAAAATTGGGGCCAGTTACAGATAAAGGTTAGGAAGGAGGTTAAAATATAACAATAGACGTCTTTGATTTTTAAAAATTGTTAAATGTTGGATTAGGATTTGAATATAAGCTTCCTAAGAGTCAAGACAAAGCTGAAACAATTAGTTATAAGTGTCTCTTACTTAGCAAACTGAAACAATGAGATTATCTAACTAGGTACCAATAGTAGCTAAGAAGAAAACTTCTTCTTTACGTTATATCACCAGACTCCTTGTTTTTAAGGAAAACACCTGAAAAGCTATTCAGGTGTATAATAGGGACAACAAAATTTTGTTGTGGAACATTCTGTTAGCTATTAACACAACAGATTCTCAGTTAAAGAACTTACTCCATTTTGTATGTTATATGTATATGAAAGTATGTAAGTGCGTGCTCCAGTGGCCATTAGCCAAACTGTGTGTGTGTGTGTGTGTGTGTGTGTGTGTGTGTGTGTGTGTGTGTGTGTGCACCAGATGACCATTTGAGAAGGAGGTAGAATATGTCCTAAAGTCCATTATCCAATTCTATTGAGAAAGGAATAATCAAGGCAAAAATGAGAAAGAAAATGACACATTAAACATTAAAAAAATTTTATTACAGTGTATGTGTGTGTATGCATGCATGCATGTATGTGTGCATGTGTGTGTGTGGGAGACACACACACACACACACACACACACACAGAGAGAGAGAGAGAGAGAGAGAGAGAGAGAGAGAGAGAGAGAGAGAGAGCACATCTATGCTATTCTCTCCTTCCACTACTTAGGTGCTGGAGATTGAGCTCAGGTCATCAGGCTTGGCAACAAGTTCTTTTTTTCCACTGAGCTGTCTCATAGTTCAGAAAGCACTTCTTAGTGAAAACCTTTTGCATGTTGTTCTACTGAGCCTAAGTCCATAATTACACTTTTGTCACATGCCACTTCAACAAAAGACAGAAAACATTTGGAAAACAAGCATGAAGATGGGAAAGAACAGATAATAAACCATGTTTCTAACTTTCTCTTCCAGAAGTATGGATCCAGTGTGCATGACTCCAATAGTGAATACATGATCATGGCAGCAGTCAACACAGCCAAAAAATCTAGACTCGCAGGTATAGACTCCCTCAGGGGCTTGTGGAGGGAGGAATACTCTTTATGTTAAGACTTGAATTTATTTACTTGTTTTTATTTTAAAAAGAAAGGAAAATTGCCGGGTGTTGGTGGCACATGCCTTTAATCCCAGCACTTGGGAGGCAGAGGCAGGCAGATCTCTGTGAGTTCGAGGCCAGCCTGGTCTACAGAGCGAGTTCCAGGATAGCCTCCAAAGCTACAGAGACACCCTGTCTCAAAAAGCAACAAAAAAAGAGGAAAACTTCCCTAAGGATAATTTTAGTATTTTATATAAAAATCTGGGTTTTTATTTTAATTGAGCTTATTCATTCTGTAGTATATTAAAATAGTTTTTGTAAATTACTATTAAAATAAATTATTAGGGGTCAAGGATATAGTTCAGTTTGTAAAGTGCTTATCTAACATATATGAAGCCCTGGATTCGATCCCACTGCCATATAATGGACATGGTAACACACACCTTTTATCCTAGTACTCAAGAGTTGGAGGTAGGAGGATCATAAGCACAAGGTCATTTTCAGCTACAGAGTGAGCTGGAGGCCAGCCTATGATATATGAGATCCTGTCTCAAAATTAACAAAGAGAAACAGAGAGGGATGAATGGTAGAGAAAGGAAAAAGAAAAGGAAAAAAAAAACTAGGTTGAAGTAAGAGCATAGCAATTCAAGCCTAGCCTGATCTTCAGGATGAGGTGCTCCTGGACAGGTTGAGCCACTTGAAGCATCCTTGTCTCAGAAGAAGAAAAAGAAGAAGAAGAAGAAGAAGAAGAAGAAGAAGAAGAAGAAGAAGAAGAAGAAGAAGAAGAAGAAGAAGAAGAAGGAGAAGAAGAAGAAGAAGAAGAAAAAGCAACGCTGGAGATGTTTTCAACTCATTGGTAGAACACTTGCCTACTATGCATGAGGTCTTAGGTCCAACTCTAGTACAAAAGAAAAGATCCATACGTCACAGTTGTTTCAACTAAAATTAAAAAACAAATTGAGATATATCTGGATCTTCCTTCTTGTAATTTTCATGAAATCAGATGGTGCACATTTATTGGGCATCCTACAACACAACCTTATGAGTGAGATACCAGAGGGTGATGGGGATTTGAGAAGAGGCTGGGAAGAAAGGTTTAGGTTGATGCTGGGGGTGGGGTGGGGCATGGCAGAGGAGGAACTCATGATAATACTCAGTTGTTTGGAAGCAAACAATGTCCAAATCTGGGTGACATTGGAAAGCCGATTGAAGCTTTTACCTTGTTCATTGAGAGTTAGAGGCTGGTGCTGTCAAGTTTGAGGAATATCCAGAGAGCTTGAAACATCCACTGTGGAAATTTTACACATCTTGTGCCCATGGATGGAATGATATGGGATAGAAAAAGAATAGAAACCATCACATTTTGGCTACCACTCTGGCTCAGGGACACACATAGACTTGGGATCACTGAATGGAAGAGTATCTAACCCTGCATATTTAGACTTTATTCTCTTTGTAGATAGCCAGGGCTGTGGTCCAGACTGCCAGTGGCTCCTTTCCAGACAATTAATATCATAGCTTTGGCACTTGCTATCAGCTTTGTTTGATTACTTTGTTCCTGCATACTTCATCGAAATCATTGTGTTAATAATAAAGTGTTCTATCTTAGTTTGAATTCCCCCAAACAGAGTCTAAGATAAGGTCTTGAGTGTAAATTGTTCACTGGAGTGGTAATCCCATGGAGAAGTGGCAAGGGGGTAGTGAAAAAAGAGAGAGGCAAGAATAAAGGTGATTGTAAGGTCGAGAGCGTTGGTGCTTGGTTCTGGGGTCTGACTTAATGGGACCTCTGTCAAGTGTACAGAGGCCTCCCACAAATTATATGAAGGATGGGAAATGAGACACTTGACCATCAGTTTCATTTCCTACAGTTGGCAGCTGTCTTCAGGGGGCATTGCCTCTCCCTCATTCCTGAACTGGATTCGGAATAAAGCTGTTCTTGAGTCTTCAGAGGTAGTCAGAAGCAGGAAGGCAAAGTGAGGTGCAGTGGGGCTATGGTGCTGGAGCAGTCTGAACATCAGATTAGCCTCATGGGCATAACGATTGTGTGTGTGTGTGTGTGTGTGTGTGTGTGTGTGTGTGTGTGTGTGTGTGTGTGTGTGTGTTCTTTTTTTCTCTCTTGTGTTATATGTACACCACAGGGAAAAGCAGAAATCTTGTTAAAGGGAATTCAACTCATGTGGAATTTTTGTTACAGGTGTGACTCCATAATCTGGAGCACTCTGGCACCCATGGAGGAACCACACTGACCAGTTCCCCTGAAACTTGAACTGAGAAATTCTATTTTCTGGATCACGGGGCATCTGACTTGATTTGACTACAGGAATCTCCTTTGAGTATTTTGTTTGTCTGAATCAGTGACTACTAGGTGCTCTGAATTTCAACAGACTGCCTGGGAATTGCTGAGTTATTTTAAGGTGAACACCTTCTTATAGAAGGTCCAGCTCATGTGTACTCGACAAACAGACATCACTTGGTTAGAATCCCCCTCTCTCTGCACCTGCTTCTGGCTACACACAGGCCAGTAAAACAAGCACATTTACAACATGCTCACAAAAATGCCAAGGGTATTAATCTGTAAAGCACACAGGCAGCCAATGGCCAGCATCTGCCCTCATTTTTCAGGTTACTCTTTCTTGCTGTTGGGATCAGTATTCCTTCTAGAACCAGACAGTAGAGGGAGATGCTTCATAACGGTAGCTCCTGTGTTTCTGAGATGTTGATGTATATACTACATTGAACTCATACATTAGCACCAACACAACATTCTCTTCCAACTTCTACACTCCAGTTAATCACTGCTTGTGGGGTGGAGATGCCTTCTCTTGCCTTCGATTTTCCCTTTAAAGATACTTGCACATGTCTACTTGGCAGCCTGCAGCCACTGCAAATAGGAAGTTCAAACTACATTTCCCCCCTTCTGCTGCTCAAAAAAATTAGTGGATATAATTCTCCCATATTTTCTCTGCCAAATTAATATTTTTTCAAAGACATCTTATTTTCTCAAATTCAGTTAAAATGTGTTGATATTAGTGGTAGGAAACATTGCTCCGAATCAAAAGCAAATTAATTTTGCTATTGTGTTTTCTATCATTATCTATGTTTCCATGGTGCTATTAATCACGAGTGTAGCTATTTTTGTAGATCATATTAAAGTTGCAAGCAAGCAAAGCAACCCATGGTTAATGGGCAAACATTCTCCTGGGGTAGAATGGATTATCTATTTAGCCTGAAAGTTACAGTTTCTGGATAGGTTGCCAGATTGCAGCCATGCTTCTTCTGGGTTTGACAGACTAAAATGGTTCCCTTGAGCCTGGATTAGCACTCCAGACTTCACTAGAATCCCAAGGTTGGGAGAAGCCACTGAGCCTTTGGTCTCTGGGATCTGTGAAGAAGTGCAGAGGAGCCAAGACAGAGCTCCCTCTCCTAGAAGCTATGTGGCCTGGAAGTCTTTCAGATAGTCTTCATTAGAACAAGAGTTAGCTGGAAAGGTTCAGAAGCGAAAGCAGCATGTGATCGCTCTGAGCTGGACCATTTTCTCCATGTTCCTGTCTGCATGCCTAAGGCTTCTGGAGCAGCCAATGTGTATGCAACATTTGTTTTTTAACTTTAAGTAAAATAAGGCTGCTTCATAGTCTTATATTGTAGTTGCCTACTTACAGTTTACTTTAAAAGTGGGACCTGATGTATCATTATATACTTATTACATTAAGCATGTGTAATACTGGCTGTGTACAGTACAGTACTGAATTTGTAATTTGAATCAAGTATAGTGTTCTCTCATTTCAGCAGACTCGGGCAGCCTGGCTGGCATTCTCTGAGTTGGATGTACCTTTCTGGGTCAGGGTAAGGTTGTGGAGGCTAGCCTTCAGGTTGTTCCGTGAAGGATCTCCATCCCAACACTGAACAGTTAACAATGAATTATTGAAGAACAAAATTTCTGTGAAATAGGAACTGGCTTTAAGAGGAGCCACTTGTCAAATAGTATCAGCAATGATAATAGGTAAAGAATAAACATTTGTATCTAGTAATGGAGTATAGCCTCACTGTGTTTTCTGGGGGCAGAGAAGTGATAACCTTAGTGATGACCACATACCCATTAGCCATTGCTCTCCAATGACCTTGTGTTCTGTATTAGATAGTTGCTTTCTACATCTTGCTCTCTCCTTTTTTAAACTTTGAAATGTCTACAAACTTACAAAAGAGCGGACATGCACAGAAAAAAGTGTGTTCTGCTTCTGAGTTAGTTTCTGCATTGACCTCCTAGCCCCATGGAACGGTGCTTATTTTCTACAGAAAAGAAGGGTGTACTTGATGACTCTCCACCCATATCAGATTACCATCTAGTCTGCATTCAAGATCTGCCCCCTCGTGTCTAGGATGCATGTAGGAGCTGAAGGTTCTCTGGACATCCCTTGGTGTGTAGTTGTTCAGTCTCTGGAGTGGTCTTTATTCTGGACAGTCTTCAGTCTGAGGACTTGGCTCTTTTGCAGATCATAAAGCCAATATTTTGTAGAATGTTCCTTATTTGGGTCATTTTGATGTTTCTTCATGAATAAAATGAGGTTATTCATCTTTATCTGAAATAACACAGAAGTGGTATTGTGTTCTTTCAATTGTGCCCTAAAAGGGCACCTCACAGCTTTGGCTTGCTCTGTTACTGCTAATGTTCATTTTCATCATTAGACTAAGGTCATGTCTGTCAAGCTTCTCCATCGTAAAGTGATTCTCTGCCCTCCACACTTAATAAATACACTTTGTGAGAAAGTATTTTGAAATTGTCTGTTCCTCATCATAATTTCAATTTATTTATGTGTTCAATTGTAGCTTCATGGTGTCATGGTTTCTTATTTTGTTCGATGGGTAAAAGTAAATGTTACTATTATTATTATATTTTTCTTTATGTTGTTTAGAAATAGTCTTCTGTGGCTCGGCTGGCCCTCAGATTTGCTAAGAATGACCTTTAATTTCTGTTCCTTTGGTCTCTACTTCTGAGGCTTGGGATTACAAGTGTGAG